GGTTCCTTGACTATTTGTGGTTCTCGAACTTCTTCGAGATCTATTCTACTCCCACTGACTGTCTTGGAGACGAACTCTCTCTCCAAGAAAGATCCATTCCGAGCAACAAACACTTTGTTCTCGGATGGGTTGTAGAACCAGTACCCTTTAGTTTCTTTAGGGTAACCCACAAATATGCATTTATCAGATTTGGCGGATAGCTTATCAGAAGCCAGACGTTTCACATAAACGTCACATCCCCAAATCTTCATGAATGCTAACCTGGGACGCTTCCCAGTCCATATCTCATATGGTGTCTTCTGAACTGATTTTGTTGGACAGTTGTTCAGTATAAGCGCTGTTGTTTCCAAAGCATATCCCCAGAAGGATTTAGGAAGATCGATCTGACTCATCATAGACCGTACCATATCTAATAAGGTTTGGTTCCTCCTCTCGGACACGCCATTCCACTGTGGCGTTCCAGGTGGGGTTAACTGTGAGACAATCCCACAATCTGCCAGATAGTTAGTGAACTCTTGGCTCATATACTCGCCACCTCGATCAGATCGAAGCAACTTGATCGTCTTGCCAAGTTGGTTCTGTACCTCGTTTCTGAAAATCTTGAACAATTCAAGTATTTCACATTTATGTCTCATCAAGTAGACATAACCGTACCGACTAAAATCATCAGTAAACGTAACAAAGTACAGATAACCTCCTCTAGCGGGTGAGCTCATAGGACCGCATACATCACTATGTATGAGTTCTAACAACTCTGTAGCCCTTTCTCCTTTTCTAGAAAAAGGAGATTTTGTCATCTTGCCCATCAAACAAGAATCGCACGATTCGATTGATTCATAATCAAAAGAATCAAGAAGTCCATCAGAATGAAGCTTCGCTATGCGTTTCTCATTGATGCGACCAAGCCGACAATGCCAGAGATAGGTCGGGTTTAAGTCGTTCGGCTTAAACCGCTTGGTACTAACGTTATAGATTGAACTGTGTCTAGACGGTTTATCATCCAAAATATAAAGGCCATTAAACAGGTAACCATTACCATAAAATAAAGCGCCTCTATAAATAGATAAAGTTTTGTTCTCAATGACAAAACGAAAACCATCAGAATCCAAACATGAAATCGAAATAATATTCCTGCTAATTGCAGGTACAAAATAACAATCATGTAATTCTAACACAAGTCCAGAAGGTAAAGTAAGATCATAAATCCCGACAGTCAACGCAGTAACTCTTGCTCCATTCCCGACGCGGAGATCCACTTTTCCCTTCGCCAGTTGCCTACTTCTTCTCAGGCCCTGCACATTTCCACAAATGTGTGAGGCACATCCGGTATCTAATACCCAAGATGTAGAAGTAAACAAGTTAGCTTCTATAACGAAGATACCTGAAGATGAAGCTTCTATAAGCTTCTTCTTCTTTTGATCTTCCAGGTAGAGTTTGCAGTTTCTGCGCCAATACCCAATGGCATGGCAGAAATGACACTCTCCCTTCTCAACCTTAGTATGGCAGAAATGGCACTCTCCCTTCTCGGCCTTCGGCTTAGGCTCGACGGCAACACTTGTCGTTTTGCCCTTGCCTTTCACGCCCTTGGAACGCTTCCTTTTCTTGGAACTCTTTCCAACCACTAGGACATTCTTCTCGACTTTGATGTTCTGCTCGGCCGATCGCAACATCCCATGTAGCTCGGTCAAGTCCTTCTCCATCCCATGCATGTTATAGTTCATGACAAACTGGTCAAAACTATCCGGCAGGGATTGAAGAACTAGGTCTACAGCCAATTCACGACTAACATCCAATCCTAGTCTGTCAAGATCCTCT